TATTCAACCAAATAGAAATTATAAGAACATCAAAAAGCCAAAGCTCACTGGAATATCAAATTGGTTTGAATTTAAGTAGTCAATAGATAGCGAACTTACAGGTTTTATTTGCGCACGAGCTCTACCTCACTTCGGAACTTGGAACAATTTTTCGTCTGCTGTTATTAGTAAATCAAGAGATAAGATCGAGCAACCCAAGCCAAGTTCTAAAGTATCAGACCATTCTATTATAGATACACCTTGGATAGTTTCTTTACTATCAAATAGTAAGCAAATTTACAGCAATAATTAACATCACTTTGTTTAGTCAGAATAAATTATTGGTAGTAATATACTGTATAACAGCATATTATGCCAATGATTTATATTGACTGAACAAATTTTGTAATATCGATGTTAATAATCATACTATACGACAAAAAAAAATTTGATTGTTTAATTATAGGCCCTGATCCAACCAAGTTGTCAATATCCGAGATTAAAAGAAAACTTGAATAAAGAGGTTTGAGTTATAATGCTGATGAGAATAAAACTAACTTGATTAGCCTATTAAAAGAGAATATTCAACAAGAAACATCAAATATGATAAAGGATATAACAAAAAAATTTTTTTTATTTTCATTTTGGTATATTTGGTTAATATTACATTAATCAATTTCTATTTGTAGAAATAAAGAATATACATAAATTATGTATAGCGATCAATAACGAGGTAACAGAAGAATCAAAGAAACAAAAAGATTAAAAAAAAAAACAAATTCAGCAAGAAAAATCAGACAAAAATTATTTTTATTCAGGGTGGGCTTTGAAAGAAAATCAAGAATATGGAAAAAAGGGAGGAGGCAAATGCATGACAGAAACTGTAAAAGAAATATTAAAAAGCTTCTTTTATGCCAGTGACGAGGATAAAAGCGAGAGATATACAGCAAAAGAAATGCTTCAAGATCTGCAACAAAGAGAACAAATAGAAGAGTTAGAGGCTGAAGAGATTCTAAATCTTAAAACAATTGAGAACTGGATTAGTCAGTATTCGTCATTACATAAAAAGAAGGTAGCAAAAAAAGCCAACACAGCTGTTTCAAGTCAAATAAGTGCCAAATAAAAAAAAAAGGATTTTGTAGCTTATATATGTTGATTTACTTGACCTTTTGTCCATAAAAAGTATTACACTTCTGTCTATTTTTAACTCATAATCCAGAGCCGGAATGAGAATAGTGTAAAAATAATCAAACGACATCGCTTTCTATTCTTATGATAAAATACTCGGGTGATATTGGTTCATAAACGTATTTATATAACTTGGGCTTAAACGTGAAAAAAATGCAAATTTTTGTAACTTAAAAGTTTGTATTAAATAAATTTTTATATGTAATTTTAAAATTTTTGCACTGATTTACATTATGCATTTTTTTCTATTTCTGGCAAATCACAAATTAAGTAAATTTGCAAACTTTCGATAGATAGCCATGTTTAGCACATTATTCTGGTCATAATGGTAGTTAAATCATCAAAATCAGCCCAATATTTGCTGAGATAGCTTAATCACAATATTTGCATAATATTTCAAATATTGCGCAATATTGCACAATATTTGAAATATTGTACAAATATTGCAATTAAGCTATCTTAGCAAATATTAGGCCGATTTTGATGATTTAACTAAACTACCATTATGACCAGAATGATGTGCTGAACATGGTTACCTATTGAAAGTTTGCAAATTTACTTAATAAATTTTGCAACTATTCACAATTTTTTAAAATCTTTCGCAATATTGCATGTCAATCACAATTCTTGCATAATATTGTGATTTTAAAATTTGCTGATGACTGATAATTTAAACTTTACATACCTTGTCTAATTTATTACTTATTACTATAAAGTGTGGTTTGAGCATCAATCAACCTATATTCTACTTGAGTTTGAAAAATATAGAAAATATAAATATCTATTTGATCGCTCTATATATAAACAATTTAAAGAAAATGTATTGGAATTTTGAGATTTTGCCTTCTCCTTAACTAAAGAATTAGGATCTTTAGCTGTATATCTATTTGGGATCTGTGTTAATACAGTATCTGTAAAATGATTATGGAGTTCAATGAGATTTATCTACACTAATCGATGAAATTGTCTCCAAGTGAATATTACTGTAAATCACTATATTTAATTATAATATTGTTTTTAATTTTTTTTTTTTTTTTTTTTTTTACAAAATTAATTAAATTGTAGAATAAAAAAGTATTATTTATGTGCCAAATTCATGCTTCAATTAACTTCACTTAACGAAAAAAACTATACAAACCTTCTAATAATCCAGCATATCAAAGTGTTAACTCTAAACAAGCTAAACAAAATGAATTAGATAATCAAGATGAATCGGATGAAGAAAACAATTTTAGAGAAGGTACTAAAACTAATATATCAGATACAATGGCATGGGAAAGTCAATTACAAAAGTAGGAACAAATGTTACTTGATAAAGAAACTGCGATATTAGAAGAAGAAGAAGTAGAATATAAGAATAGTGATTATATTATAAATAGTGATTTGTTAAGTAATTATACATATCTGGCAATTAACTATAGAGTAAAGTGAGAGTTGAGTAGTCTATTTGGCCCTCTTTTTGAAAAACCAAGCTATATAAATTCTGATAGTTAGCTTTTGATAAAATTATATTGATAATAAACTCATTTATTGCAATTCTTATATTATTTGTGAAATATTTAATATAGAAAATTTACTTGAAGCTTTTAATCTTAACTGTACTACGAATATAGATTACACCCAAAATAAGTAACACAGCTTTGTTTAAATTTAATTACAAAATAAATAACTCAGCTCTAATTTGAAGTTAAATTCAAATATATATATTATTATTATTATTATTCATATATTCTATGTATTGTTACAAAGTAGATTGTAATACAAAGTAATACTAGCATAGTATAGTATAGAAAAATATTCTAGTATTGTATTATTTATTATATTATTATTATATCATAGTATTATAGTTATTATTATT